TCCTCCCCTCCCCCCTTCCTCTGTCCCCTTCCCTCCTCCCCTCCCCCACCGCGCTGCCCTGAGCTCCCCCTGGTTAGCATCTCTCCGTGCGGGGCTGCATCCACTAGCTCTCCGTACGGAGGTCGACGGCCGTGGAAGCTGGACACTGCCGTGTCTGACTCTGCCGGCTCCCACGGTGTCTGAACAGAGGACGCGTCTCGTGAAGACGTGCATTCGTTGGGGGGGCGGCTCTGAGCCCTGAGGAGTGCAGGGAATGAGCTGATGACGGACCTGACGTGTGATTGAAGAAGACACAGGACGGTCCCTGATGTGTGACTGAGGGGATCCAGGTCCGTCCTGACGTGGGACCGAGGACAGCGGGGACAGACCCTGGTGTGTGACTGAGGGTAACAGAAGACTGTCTCTGAGGTGTAACCGGGAAGCACAGGGACTGTGTGCTGGGCTGTGACCTGGGAGCACAGGGACTGTCGTGGACTATGACCTGCGAGCACGGGGACCGGACTGTGTGCTGAACCATGACTGGGGAGCATGAGGACTGTCATGGACTGCGACTGGGGAGCATGGGGTCTGGGCTATATGCTGGGTCATGACTGGGGAGCATGAGGACTGTCATGGACTGCGACTGGGGAGCACGAGGAGTGGACTGTGTGCTGGGTCATGACTGGGGAGCACAGTGACCGTTGTGGACTGCGACCGGGGAGCACGGTGACCGGACTGTATCCTGGGCCATGACTGGGGAGCACGTGGAATGTCATGGACTGCAACCGGGTAGCACGGGGACCGGACTGTATGCTGGGCCACGACCGGGAAGCAGGGGAACCGTAAGCTGTGGCTTGCGTGCTGTCCTCTGTGGCGAGGACATGGCTGTGGGCCAGGTTCTCTCTGCGAGGCGCCCGCGGGTTGGCGTGGTGGGTGTGTCCCGCTCCGTGTCGGGTACCGTGGAAACAGGTGACTCCCTGTGTACGCTGCACACGTGAGCTCAGCCGCTCCTGCATGCACTCACATGCCCGTTAGTGGCCATCTGTCTGGTCCTGACCCCCAGGAGGACTCCCGGCAGGTTCTCCACAAGCACGTGTGCCAGCCCGTCCGTCAGTCTGGGCGTCCCCAGTCCCTGTCCTGAGGGGCCACACCCAAGGCAGGACTGGAGGAGGCTGTGCGGCATGGGGCCCACGGTGGATGGGGCGCCCACTAGAGGGTTGTGTGACCTGCTGCGAGCATCGTCGGCAGTCGTGTGTCCAAATTCGGGTCCGATGTGCTGCTCGGCGCGATTACTTTCCACCCCTGCTAACTATGCGTGAGTGCGAAGACGTGGAGGCTCACAGGTTCTCATGCCGGTGCCGTCTGTTTTCCGTCGTAGGTTCAGACGAAGAAGGAGGAGCCCCTGCCACCCGCCACGAGCCAAAACATTCCCACGTTCTACTTTCCCAGAGGCCGTCCCAAGGACACGGTGAACATCGATGCCATCATCACCAAGATCGAACGGACCTTCGCGCAGTTTCCGCACGAGAGAGCCACGATGGAGGACATGGGCCGAGTGGCCAAGGTGGGCCCCCACGTGTGTGCAGCTTGGCTGCTCTGGTTGCTACTTGCTTCCATTCTGAAGCACCAGTAGGGTTCTGTGGGAACGTTGGTCCTCCATCCTAAAGGACGCACGTCCCGGGTCATGGTCCGGGTCAGCGAGTGTTAATGCCTGCGTCTTCCAGGGAGTGTCCCCAGAGGCTGAACCCAGGCCTTCCCGTGCACCCACGTGGCCCCGTGCCTGTCCCGGGCGAGGAGCCGTTTCTCTGGAGCACGTGAACACGCAGCCCAGTCCGTGTGTGCTCTGTGCGGCGTGTGACTCTCAGCTCAGCCGCCATGCTGTGTCGCGCTGCGGTCTCGCCCGGACAGCGTGTCCCCAGAGTGTCCGTGTTGATGCGTCCCTGGAGTGTCCGTGTTGATGCGTGCTCGTGGGACGTGGCCCGTGCAGTTTCTCTGTGCCGTCCTGCCAGGGGCGTCCTCCCCAGTCACTCTTGCGTCCCCCCACGAGTGCTGTGTTCTGGACCCGCCTCTCGCTGCCCACGGCCACCGCACTGCGCTTGCAGGAACGGGGGACGCCTCACCCTCCCCAATCACGGAGCCCAGGTTGGCTCAGTGGCAGCCCAGCGGCTGGAGCTCGTGGCGGCACGCGAGGGTTCCTGGTGGCCCAGCCCATCCTCCTCTCCGAGTGGCCACCAGCTGCACCTGGGCGCGTCCTGGGTTGTGACTTGGCCTGCCCGTGGGGCCCGTGGTGGTCACGCTGCAGGAGAAGGTGGTTGTCAGCTCAGCGTACAGTGTTCCCCAGGGGCTGTGCGTGTCCCCTGTTCATGTCCTGTGTGGCCAGCGTGTCTCCTGCTTTCTCTTTCCCTGTCCCTGTCCTGTGCCCTTGTCTCGTGGGGTTTGTCTCGGAGATCTGGAAGCCACCGCTCCGTGTGTTGTGTGCAGCGTGAGAACGTTCTCTATGGCCGCTGGGTAGCCTGTGCACATGCGGTGCGGGAACGACGTCCTCTCTGGCCGCTGGGTAGCCTGGTGCGTGCGCCGCGCGGGACCGTCCTCCCGTTTAGCCGCCGGGGACCCTGGTGCGTGCGCCGCGCGGGAACCTTCTCCTCCAGCTGCTAAATAGCTTCGTGGACCTTTTGCTTCCCGTGTTTGGGGTTGGCCTTTCTGTCTGTCTCGCGGTCGCTGAGACAGAGTTCACGCACCACGCGAGCCAGCCTGTTAAAGCACAGCGCTCAGGGGTGTTCGCGTCCTCACAGAGCTGTGCAGTCGTCCCCATGCTTTGCTTTAGGACACAGGCTTCCCTCCGAGACGGTCGCCTGCCTCCCTCCCTCCTGCTTCCCGTGTCCGTGCATCTGCCCGTTTTGGGCATCGCGTACACACAGTTTCCCGAGTGGGGCTCCCTGCGTGGAGCACGTTTTCCGAGTGCGCTGCATGTGGGCAGGCGTGTGCGCGTCTTCCTTTGCTCTGACGTGCGCTGTTTTCCCCGTCGACTGTTCGTGGATGTTTCTGTGGTGTCGGCTGCTGCAAACATGCACCCAGAGGTGTCTTGTGCACACGTGACCTTTCTCTTGGGTGCGCAGCCGGCAGTGCTCATGCAGGGTCATGCGGAAGTGCGGTGCAGCTGCTTGTGGGACCACTTGCGTGTCTGCAAACAGCCGCCCCGTTTCCGTGCCCACCGGCAGTGAAAGAGGTTGCGCTGTGTCCCCTTCTGGGATGAGAGATGCTGACGCCGGTGCGTGGGCACTGGTGTCTCCTTCTGGGATCGATGTGTGGTTTTCTTGCCGACTGACGATTGTGCGTGTGTCTTCACGAGCTTGTTGGCCGTGTGTACATCTCTGCACAAGCGTCTGTTCCCATCCTTTGCCCCTTTCTGAGTAGGTTGTCGTGCCGTTGCTGAATTCTAAGTGTGGTTTGTGTGTCGTCGACACAAGTCTGTGACTAGATCCATGGTGCACCCGTTTCCTCCCAGTGGTTGGGTCATTGTACACGCTTGGGTGGCATTTAGGTTTTCATTGTGACATGCTTCATTTTACCTACTTTTACATTTGTTTCTTGTGCTTTTGGGGTCCTGTTGGAGAAATCCGCACCAAATCTAAGGTCACGAAGATTTAGTCGTTCTTTTCCTGCGGGTTGTCTAGTGCCACCTCTTAGGCGTATGTCTTGGGTTTGTTTCAAGTTGGCGTTTGTCAGGAGCGACGTTGGGGCACAACTTGGTGTTCTCCGTGTGCAGATCAAGGCGTCCCGGCCCCATGTCTGCAGAGGGTTTGTCTTTCCACGTGGACTGGTCTCCCTCGTGGGAAATGAGCAGATCGGGAAGTGAGGGTTTATCGCTGGGTTCTCTCTCTGCCGCATAGACCCGTATCTCCGTTTTTCGGCCACGACAATACCGTCCTCGTCACTGTTGCTTGGTACTAAGTTTTCAGACAGGGAAGTGTAGCTCCTCCGACTTTGTTCTTGTTCAGGACGGCCGGGGCTCCCTGGGGCTCCTTGCCACGCCGTGTGATTTCTAGGGTCAGCTCGTTGGTTTCTACAGAGAGGCCAGCAGCTCCCCTGATAAGGGTCATGTTGGTCTGTACATGAGTTCGCAGACCGCTGCCGCCTTCATGTTCTGTCTTCTGATCCACGTCCAGACGCTTCTCTCCTTGTGATTACACTTTTCCTTTCAGAAGCGCTCTGTGGTTCTAAGTGTGCTTTGCACGCCTTTTGTTGAATGTGTTCAGAGCTTTTTATTCTTTTGGGTGGTTTACCGGTGGGATGGTTTCCTAAACTTGATGTTCAGGTTGTTTGTTGCAAGTGTGTAAAAATGCAGTTGACTATTATGTGTTCCTCTCGTGTCCCGTGTCCTCATGAACTCACGTATGTGTTGTAACGTCGCTTGGTGGATCCGTTAACGTTCCATAGAGTAGGAACCGGCAAGCAGGAACGGTGGGCTTCTTCCTTCCCGGTGTGTGTGTCTGCTGTTTCGGCCCCATGCCGGCCTGCTGTGGGAGACCTCCCGCGCGGCGCTGCAGAGAAGTGGGAGCGTGGGGTATCCTGTGTCACTGCCACTCTTCCGGGGAAGGTGTCCGCTCCTCCACCACGAAACGTGATGGAGCTGTGAGGTTTTCACAGCAGCTTTGTCAGGCTGAGGACGTCTCTTGGCACTGCTTGTGTGCTGAGTGTTTACTTGGAAAGGATGTTGGATTGGTCCCAGCTTTTTCTGCATCTGCACGGTCGGCTTTGGTGGTTCCTTCTACGGATACAGTGTATCCTGCGAGCCGCTCGTCCCAGCATTAAACCAACCTTGCATTCCTGGAATACGTCCCGTGTGGCCCAGGTGCATAGTCGTTTTTCTATGTTCCTGGATTCTGTTTGCCCGGATTTTGTTGATGATTTTGGCTCTGTTCGTATTCATAAAAAGCACTGATTGCAGTTTTGTGACTCCTTTGTCTGCTTTTGATGTTAGAGTAATACTTGTCTTAGAGCAAGAGTTCAGAAATGTTCTCTTCCTTCGTGACTTGGGCTCATAAAGTTTTTTTTAAGTGTTGTTTTATAAGTGTGTAAAAACATGCATGGTTCCAAGGCCAAACCAAAAATCAGACATATTCAGAGAAGTACACATTCTGTGCCTGTTTCCCTGTGTTCTTTTCCTCTGCCCAGAAGGAATGGTCGCAGTTTTGGTTTACTGTTTTACTGTTTTGTTTTTCAGTACGAGCACACGCATGGACATAAACATAGGTCACGAGATGCTTACATAATATGGAAATGTACATACATAACTAATTTCATGCTTTGCTGAGGAGAAAGTAGCACGCTGTCCTACACGTGGGTATGTTCTCAGTGAACATGGTATCGTGGCGCTCATGCCGTGTCTGTCCAGGCGGTCCTCGCGTTGTACCATAGCATGGACTGTAAACGCTACTGACCATGCAAGCCGAAGCCACGCAGGTCTGTGTGATCCGGGGGAAGTCACAAATGTTCTGGAACTTTTAAAACATGTTTGTCAAGACATTAGAAACTTTCCTATAGTTTCCTATAAACGCATGGGGAAATGGGAAAAATAGACCAATTTTGGTTGCACTGTCAGTTAAAATGTTAGAAATTCTGAAAGCTGGTGTCGTACTTCTTTGTAAAACTTTAGCAAATGATGCTTGAGTGGGGCTCGTCCCTGTGTCGCCTGGTGTACGGTAGCGTGAGCCCCTCTTCTGTGCCTGGCTCTTGTCCTGCTCCCGAGTCTGGCTCGCTTCCGACCTTGTACCCTTTGTGCTCTCGACGTTGTGAAATGTCTCAGAGAGTTCCCTTCCGTGAAGCTTGTTTCTGGCATCACGTCCCCTGGGACGAGCCCGAGTTTCCCTCACAGCCCCGTCTGAGTCGATCATTGGCCCTCGCCGACGTCCTCCGGCTCCACGCGCGCGGCTCCTTGCCCTGCGCCAACAGCAGGGTTCCCGCGGTCGGCATTGCTCTGCGGCCGTTCAGGTTCCCACGGATCCCGCACGCACCATGTCATGTTTCTTCCAGAACTCGGCCAGCAAAGCTGCCCGATCTCCGGCTGCCGCATCTGTTACCTGTGCGCACGTCCGTCCGAGACCGTGGGCTTTCCCAGAGCTGAAATCGCTTGGCCCATTGGCTGGGGAAGAAGCTGGTTTTGGTGGTAAGAAGCAGATTTTCACATTTCCACTGAAGCGTCCAGGAGACCCAGGGTGGCCCGGCACGTGATGCAGCCCGGAGAGCGCTTGCAGAGCCAACTTACTTTCTTACGGTGGCGGGACTGGTGGGAGGTGGGCACACACAGCCACGCACCGTGCCGTCTGCTGGACCCAGGTAACACGCACGGTGCCGGGTCCTTCACAGACTTTCAAAGAACTGATAGGCTTTTTTACGCGTCCTGTTCATAGCACACGGACTCAAGGAGCTACAGTGACTCCTGTGGTTCCCTCACGCGTCTGTGCCGCGGGAATTAAAACACGAACATGTTAGCGTGGGGACTGGCAGGATTCCCTGTACTTTGCACAGCCAGGGCTTTGGGGTTAGTGCCCCTGTCTTCCTGCA